ATCCATGGTGTGCCGAGTATGACATTATAGATTGCTGGCTTATCCATGACAGTGAATTTGACAATCTTTGTGATTGCCGACGTAAACTGTCAGACGTATGGTGCCGAGACTGAAGAAGGATTCGCTGGCAAAACTGGTTAGCGGTTTTGGTGCTGCCTTGATATCTTTGTCGTTGAGCCCATCTTAGTTAGGGTATCTTTGAAAATGATATTAACCGTACTGCCGGTGTCCACTAGTATTTTCGCCACTTCACTATCGTGGATATGCAACTCGACAACTAGCGGGTCGTTGTGTGGGGTGTGCAACCCATGCATATCCTTCAACGTGAAGGTAATAGTCGGATGGTAGTCCACGGGGCGAGGGAACTTTCGCGAAGTAATCGCTTTTCGGCCATACTCCTTGATGGCGCGAACTGAATCCTCACAGTCTCGAAGTCCTCCCATGATCATGTTAACCCGTCGCTTGAGTGGAGGTGGTGGATTATCATGCTCGCCATCGTCGTTTTCGTGCTCTCCCTCCTTTTCTTTATCTTTCTCTTCCCGCTTCTTCTCGGGTGATCGACTTCATCACCTTCCTCCGGAGCTGCTTCGGCTGCCGCTTTTGTTCTGATCTTGGTGGTCCTTGCTGGAGGAGCTTCGGCGTGAATCCTTAGAGTTGGAGCTACGTGAGTAGAAACTTTTGTTCTGAGATCGGTCTCCGCCGACATCAATTTTGTCTTCCTTGTATTTTTCGTACAAGGAGTTCTGGAGGTGTCAACAAGCCGAGGTAGCGTGTCGTGTTCGCCCATGGAAAGAGCAGTAGAGATCGTGGTTATCGTCTTTGTCATCAGAATTTCTGGGAGGATCACCGTGGATCTACTGATGCCAGGGCTTCTCTCCGGTGGCTATGATGGCATGGGAGGATTGCTTGCCTTTGCCCGTCGGGTCCTTGTCTCGCGAGGTGCTTGCCATGTCCATGCCGTGCTTCTTGGCATAGAAGGTTTTTTCTTCTTCCATCCGTATGAAAGTTTGAGCTCGGCGGAGTGCGTCTTCTATGGTGTCCTTCCGGTTCTTCTGAAAATCTTCCTTGAAAGATGATTCGAACCATAGACTGTTCATGAGTGCCTCGATAGCTAAAGCTTGCGGGATCTGGCCGTACGCCGCGGCGGCATCCTTGAATTTTTTGATGAAATCTCGGAGCGGTTGGTCGCGCTCCTATATCAGTGTAAAAAGGTTGACCGACCTCTTCGTGATGAACATGGAGTAGTGCTTTATAAATGCGTGGGATAGATCCTTGAAGGATTTGATGGACGCTGGCGGGAGGTTGGAGAATTACTTGAGAGCATCCTTTCTGAGGTGTTCTACAAAGGTCTGACAGTGATTGGCTTCGCGTTCGAGGTCGGTCTCGAACCGTTGCCTCTTCATGGCGACGTTGAACCCGGTCAGCCATAGGTTCGGGTCTTCCGTCCCGTTGTAGTATGGGAGTTTCACTGCACTGAGACGAACGTCGGTGATCCGCAGGGCGAACAGGTTGCATTCAGTGTCTAACAGTATGGCCGAGATCTCGGGTGCCGAACTGGTGGCGCGGTGGAATTGAGATCCGATTGCGTTAATTCGCTGATGTAATCTTTCGATCTTGGAATTCAGTTCGTCGGTTGGTTCCTCATTACCCGGTGTTGTGCCCGAGTGTTGCCTTGCTCCGGCGTTTCAAAGACCAAAGGTCGTCCTAGCGATTCTGATCTTGCGGTAGTCGCGGCTGCTAAGGTGCTGAGTTGCTCGTTATACTTGGCCTGTTGGGCCTGAAGGGTGTCTAGCTTGGACACCAGGTTCTGTGTGAAAGGGAGAAAGGCGGCTTGAATGGCTGCAGCGAGATCGGTGACGAGGATAGGAGCCGAAGGTGCTCCCGCGGGTGGTGGGATTGTGACGGTAGGGTTACCGTGCTCGTCGAGAGCAAGTGTACAAGTACGTGTGGTGGTGTCTTCGTTGTTGAGGGTGAGATCGCTGCTATCAGTCGGAAGGCTCATCGTTTCGGATCTTCAGTTGCTAGTTTTAAGAATCTATTCTCCTACTCCCCACAGACGGCGCCAACTGTAGAACTAGAAAATCACCACTAAGGATTTGATAAACAGTTGTGGGTTTTGGAGAATAAGATCTTTTATTAATAACTATAAGATGAAGCAATTACAAGAGATGGTTTAACCGTGAGGTTATGCTGAAGTGAAAGGAAAGTGTTTGCGAAGTAAACTAGAAAGCGCTGGAGTTTTTGGTTTTAGCTCTGCTGCTCTCTAGATTGTATGAGTTCTTCTCTCGAGCTTCGGGGTCTTTTTATTTATAGGGATAGGAGGTCGGTTGCTCTGAACTTTTTTTCCTTTTTCCCTTTGGTGAATATTTCCATATTTGCGATATGGAAATATCCCTTATTCTCCGAAGAATATGAAAATTCTCCTTTATCTTTTGAATTAATCTGATGCTTCCGAACCTAAAAATTATTTTTAACAGTTTCCGTTTTATCCGAGCTAGGTCGGCGCTGTCCTGCTGGTCTTGACAGACTTAAGTTATTGATAGAGAAAGCATTTTATGAAATATGCTTATTTCTCCTCTAACAGCAAGTCTTTTCAAAAAGTCTTGCTGTTGAAAGAAGACTTGATTATGTTGATTCTAATTGTCTATTTGTTAGGCTTTCACCGTAATTTGAAAAGGGTTGTTTGTTACGTTTTACCAGGTGATGACCTGCGTGTACACGCGGATTTACATTTGATCATATATTTTTATATTTATAATTAATATGATAATTGCAAAATTAAATATAGTGCTAATATAATTTTAAATTTGTTATGTAAATATATAAATATGGTTACAATTAATTCACATACATGCTTTTTACAAAAATATATGTAAGTTGATGAATAAAATTTATCGCTTCTATTTCAAAATTTTGATATTAAAAAACTGAATTTGCTTTAAATTATTTTTAACTTCATAAATATCGTCGGAATTTCTTTGATCTTTTATTTTTATTATTTTATGTATGTATTATTTTTACAAACTTTCTGTTAATACAATGTTAATTTTTAATTTATTAGTTGTGAGAATTAGCATTGATTAAATAAAACTATTATTATAAGTTAAATGAGAATAAAAAAACTGTTGATTTTCATTTTTTGTTTTCTGATATATTAAAGCAATTTTAGAATTGTTTAATTGATTTCACAGTTGATATTGTGTATATGTATAAAAAGTTTTGGATCAAAAAAAGTATGTACTAAATTCTAAAAAAATAGTTTAGTGCACATAATTTTTAATAAAAGAATACATAAAAATTTATAATCAAGACTTACATTGTTAGAAAATGTGTTTATATTTAAAGCTTATGATGTTTAAATTTTAAAGAGATTATCAAGTTCGTATGTTTAGTTAATCATAATACTTTTTAAAAAGATATTTTATTTATATTATCGTAGATTTTGACAGTAAAATTGAGTATTGATTTTAATGTAATAAGCAAAGAGAATTATATTCGTGATTTACAAAATCCGAATCCATCTATATACAGTAGGATCAATCAAATCCACCAATACGGGAGGATGATGAAATATCAACCATCCTCGAATAAATCTAATGGGATGAAGAGAAGTTAAGTAATCAAGAACAGAGGAAGAAAAAAACCAGTTTAATAGTTTCAAATCCATCTCTCTTTCTCCTTCTGCATCTGTTTCAGTGGTATCTCCTTTAGAACTGCCTTGCGAGCATTGGTTAGCAGAACCATGTGAGCTAAGCTAACCTTCCTCTGCTTCCTATAGACAACCTAACTTTCTCCATCCCGACATTAATGCCACCTCTTCTCAACGGTTGCTGTCTCGGGGAAGATTTCGTTTGCATTCTCTTCTGCATGCTTCGTCTTAGTATGCTGCTCAGCGTCTTCCCGTTGCTTCTGTGCAACTTCGGATTGACGCAGAGCACTTGGTTAGCGCCGCTCTTTTGATCAGGCGAGTTTATAATAGCTTGGCGTGCTGGCCTCAACGGCAAAGTTGATGTGAATGGGAAGAATGGCATTAGGGTAAGAGAACTCCTTCTTGGAGTTGGAGGTGGTAGGATACGTTTTGGACAAACGGAGAATCTTTCTGTTCTCTTGGGTATTTGCAATCTCTCAGCCATTTCTGGATTGTTCTCCTTCTCAGTGAGGTCGTTGTGCTTGAAGCCACCATTAGGTAAAGGAGGTAGGTCATAGATGGTGTTACTCTCCGAGAGTGGTGGTCGGGATAGATTCACCGTTTCTTTCAAAGTTGAGGTCTCGCTTGAGACCTTGTTGCTTCCCAACAGTATGTTTGCAAGTGGTGGCCTCTTTGATGTGTTGTTTTCTTCTTCGTTCTGCTGTTTTATCTGCTGCTCAGCAATCTTGGTGTCTACGTGTTGACGAGCCAGCTTCCTTTCCACCAGCATATGTGATTCAAGTTCTTTGATCTAGCAAAGAAATATGTGATTGGTTTTAGCAAGATGAAAAGTGTTATAACCCAGCGTTGTTGTTCTTGTGGTTCTTATGGTGAGCATTGTTTACCTTGTCTTGAAGGGTTTTGTTCTTAGTGTCTCGTTCCTTAATCTTTGCTTCTAAGCCGAACATCGTTTCCTCCATTTTTCTCATCTGTTCGTCTTTTCGTTTCATGTCTTGCTTCCATTTCTTAACCTGATAAATAATTAACTTTGTCATCTTGAACAATACATGAATGATTTGATAAACACATATGTGGAAGATGTAGCTTACCATTTTCTTGTATTTCAAGAGTTCAGTATTGTCTAGCTGCTTCTTTGCAAGTCCCAACTTTATCCCTCTTACTTTGCTAGTAGTGTCTCACTTAGATCCTTCTCGGTAGGACTAATTTGTACGAACATGAGGGTCTTTGAATCTCCTCCTGTCACATACCAGTCATTTTTTTTTCCAGAATTTCATAATAAAGTACATAAGAGAATAATTTAGTGAGACATATGTAAGCAAATAAATTTATTGCTGCGTTGAGAACAGAGTTAAGTACCTAGAGAATCCTGAAGTAAGTGCGTGAGCTTTGAATTTCTGCAAAGGTGAATGCAAAATAAAATCCAAGTTGGATTAGAAAAAATGGTGACTGTAACCTTCTTCACTAACTCAAGGAAAAATAGATGTATCATTTCTACCTGAAAGGAATATGAGAGCTTTTGTTGGCAAGAGCGAATATGACATCACCAAGAGCAGATAGTGACTTGTTAATGTTTTGAGTCTCCTTGAGCTGTTCTCCTTGCACTTCTGTTTTTGCAACCCGTTCGCTTCCTGCTAAATCCACTAACCATAGTTTTCTTTTTGTGCATTCTCCATTCAACAAATTTTCCCCTTTTACCATCACGCAGTGAATGCTGTGCAAAGAAAAGAAAAACAACTACATTTAGATGGCTGATCACCAAAAAGATATTCGGAAAAAGGAGAGTTGAACTAAAAATCAGGTATGCAGACCAGTGAGATCAGCTGCTATGCTCATTCTTGTTGTAATTACCTATAGTACTGTAAAAACTGACAAAAAAAGAGCCCACGAAAGTATTCTCTGAGTTATTTGATCACATATCATCATCATGTACATATACACAGCTTCTTCTTCATTAGTTTCACAGACCGAAAATAGAAAGTTCTTGAGAATCTTACGGGTCAGCTCGGGGAAGTCGGCATATTTCACAGTAAAATGAATCAGGAAGCGGTGAATTTCCTCCCATATGCTTCTCCGAGATAATAACACAGCCAACATGCTACCAGACATGACACCTCGGATCCTCGCCCTGAAAATTACAAATCATAACTGAGACCAGCAGATATCACCAAGATTTTACTGTGCCATGAAACACCAAGAGCTCCTGCTAACAAAACCTTGAGTTGAAGAATTTATTGTGTCACAGGCTAACCTGTATCATTGACTGCGTCTCCAGTGAGCTTCCACACATACGCCGAACTTTAATTTTTGGCTCAAATAGTTTTCAGGCTCTCCTTCAACTCTTGCATTAGAGCCAAAGCTTCACTTCATGATCTCATCAGAGCCAAAGCTTCACTTCATGATCTCATCAGAGCCAAAGCTTTAAACAGAAGATAGATCAAACAGGGAAGACGAGCGGAGTGTATGGCGGAGGACAACATGGATCCAGCGGAGGATAAGACACGTCGGGGGCTTTAAAGCACGACGGGCATGGGAAAGAGAAACAGCAGAGGAGAGTAATTAAGAGCAAGTGACGATGGGCAGAGGGTGATAGAAAGAGTGAGAGACCGAGGGGGCAAGAGAAAGCCCATAGATCCAGCAGATCTGGCAGGTCCGGTGGCTCTGGAGGAATAGGGATCGTCGGTGACTTTTAGAAGGAGGTTCTCCGGTGTAAAGAGAGAGAAAGAGACGTGCTCGCTCAATCAGTTTTGACGGAGTGAAACGATGGATCAGAAGCTCAGTCCACAAGAGCAAGTTCATCGATTCAAGTGCTGGAGAGAGAGAGAGAGGAGGCCGAACACAATCTTGTGGGAGAAGAGGAGATTCCGAGACAGAGACTACCGGTGAACTTAGGCGAAGAGGCGAGCGATAGAGAACTCATTATGTCAACGATAGCGATTCGATCTCGATCTTCTTCTCCGTTCTCTATTTATTTAATGATGTTGATTATTTTCAACAAAAATGACAATTAAATTTTTGAGAAAACGCTTCGATAGATGATATTTTTTTTTTAGAGAGAGATTTTTTAAGAAGGAAATTGGCTGGTATAGCCATATCAAAGACTAATTCAGAAAACAACCATACTAAAGTAGGTATTATTATATTTTTTATATATTTAAGAATATATACCAAAAACTTCTTTGTTTAAAATGGAGTGAAAATAATTACTGACGTTAACAGTAAAAAATAAGAATAAATTTTAACATATCAATGGATACATATATAGAAAGAATCTGCCATTATAATTGGTGATCTTGATTTTGCAGTCGCTCTTTGATTTGAATACACGATCGATAAATAGATTATCACCCCCATATAGTACATCCTCCAGGGCAGATTCTACGCTTGTAGGTACTATACAAGTTAATAGGTCATAGTGTTTCAAATGAGTACAATAATATACTATACTTAGTGAAGTATGCTTCACATAGTCGTACAAATAGACTATTTCTATATTGTACTATACTATTTCGATATTGTACTATACTATTGTTTCCACATACTAAGTAATCTGTTTCTTCATTTTCCAAATCAGTAAGTACTCATCGACATCATCGTACTCATCGATTTCCCTTGAAGTGGGCACGCGTCCAATATGCAAATCCTAAAACCAATAAAAAATGACTATGTTATGTGTACTATTCTATAAGGTCTTATACTATAACATCTGATATATAGTATAATATTTGTTACCTATGTCAACAAAATAAGCTGCACATCCAAAGTTCATGTGTTGGATCTCTACAAACAGTGATTGAAGTCCCTTACAGTCTATGCTCTTGCAGCTGCAGAGACCATATGAGCTAGGCGTTTTGGTTTGTAGAGGGCCTTGACGTTGCAGCAAAGATGGACAGTACAAGCACATATACATCATTGACGTCACAAGCAAATTTCACAGTATCTACTCCCACTTAAAATTGAAAGACTGTATTAGAATTTCTCTAGGGATCATGGTTATTTATCAAATTTTTTGAATAAGATAGCTATATTTTTGAATTGTTTTTCTAATATGGTTATTAGGCTAAAAAACCCTTTTTAAGAAGTGAAATTTTTTTTAAAAAATAAAAAAATAAAGCTGAAGTGTCATGGAAGGAGATGCTGACGTGTCATCTCTTGTGAGACACAACTCAGTCTTTATATAATAGATTTTGATTGGAAGAGGGTTTAAAGACTCTGATTTACGTTTAGGAGTCATGCCAACAAACACTTCAGAAAAGTGAGATATTTTTGGAGAAATTAAAAATAAGTGACAATTTATTTCTAATTATGCGCCTCTCTATATCTTTAATTTTGTAGACACAATTATGCTTTAATTATCCTAAAATTATATATTTTAATATCGTGTATCGTCTGCGCCATGCGCAGGCCGAATTGCATAATAAATTATTGTTTTAAGTAATATTAGATATGTTCAAAAACATCACGAAACAGAATTAAGTAGTTCTATAGTTCGAGTAGCATTTTTTGAAACAAAAATGGGAAACATACATTCTCATTATTGTTCATTCGATCCAGAACTTGCAGTCGAGACCTCTTCACCACATCGTAGCCTGTAGTAAAAATTTATGATATGTATAAGGATTTAAATAGTAGTAAACTAAACTGTTTTAATCTGTTTACTATGTCGTTACCTATCACGGAAACGATGAACATCAGGAACATCGGCATTAAAATAGAACTCACAATAATTCTTCATTGCAATAACATTCATAATACCTAAACCCAAAAAGATAAGATCACAAAACAACACATATGAACCAACAAACATAGTTTGGCGTATTATATTATTCATAATACCTTCATATTGTTTGTTGATGTACCACCATCTCAGCACACAAATAACCTCTTCATCACGGTTCTGAGACCATTGCAAGGCAAACTCTTCAGCAACTTGTCTCATCGCGCAACATTTAATTACATGTTTCCTATAGAAAAAGGCGTTATAGAATAGCAATGAATCGATAATATGATGTGAAAACAAATAATAACCTTACTTGTCATCTTGGAGATCAAAAGGGATCATAGCATAATCATCTTGTATTTTACTCTCATCAAAAAATCTCTAACTCACCGACGTTTTTAAGAACGTCAATTAAATCTAACAAACAATAACACAAAATAATGAAACTCTTATTGTCTTCCTTGTTGATTCAACACAAAAACTAATATTATTCACTGTATAAAAAATCTACCGATAGCATAAGTGGCATCCATTCGACTTCCAATAACATCCCTAATTTCAACCAATGTCAACAATAAACCATATTCGGGACTAGACACAGAAATAAATCTAGTGTTTATAACAAACTTCAACTTGAAAGGATGTCTTTCTATACGAATGAAAGCATTAGAAGTTTTAACTACAAAACCGCTTAAGAGTTCCCACTTTCCTTCGATAAGCTCGTCTTCAAACAAATGAAGGTATTTGTTTCTAATTGAAGCTTGTATCATCGACCCCTATGATATCCCTTGTATTTACATCATTTAGGGCTGCATTTAGTACATATTTTGGTCCTCTTTTGCATGTTTTCCCTTAGCTTTTGTCCCATTTTCTTCTCCTTTTAGACTTAGGTTGCATTTAGAGCATAGTTTGCATTTTCTTTGCATTTGGGATCTTTCTAGGTGCTTTTGGAGCTAAAAGGAGCTTGGAGGAGCTTTGGGGATGATCCAGGATACTAGCTGGGCAAAAGGAAGCAAGAAGGGTCAAAGCAGACAATCTCTACAGAAGTTTTCGGTCAGAGCACGGTGAATATCGGTCAAGGATGACCGATACAGACCAGTATCGATCACCAGTATCGGTCAAGAATGACCGATACAAAGCAGTATCGATCACCTGCATCGGTCAAGGGTGACCGACACAAACACAACGAGTTGATTTCGGGCACCAGTATCGATCACTCCAGACCGATGGGATCTGTATCGGTCACTGAAGACCGACACAACTGACCGATACGCTGCCAGACTGAAGACCCTTTATTTACAATTTTGCCATTTTCGCTTAGACTCCTATAAATACGAAAAATCCCTAATTTCTGGGAACAAGTTTTTACCCAGCAGTTCTTTCTTTCTTGTTGAGACCCTTGGGTTTTGTAATTTGAATCTTTGCTTCATTTTAATTAAAGTTTGCATCTTTTATCTTGTTTAAGCTTTCTAATCATGATTAGTCATCTTTCTCTCTTTGATTTGGTGGCTTTAATGGTGATTAGTGAGTAGTCCTTTTTAGGGGTTTGAGATGAGTTAGGTTTAGGGAATTTGAGATTCTATCTATGATTGCTTAGTATTAATTCTTCCATTTCCTTTCTTGATTGCTGTGTTAATGCTTGATTAGCCCTAGCTAAGTTGATTAAGATCCTAGGCTCATTTTATGTCCACCAAGTGTTTGATGAAATGCCTGAACTGCTTTGCAAGAGAATTGCTTATTTTAGTTCAAGAGATTGACTGTCTAGGGAGTGATTTGGCAATATAGGGTTGATAGATTTGTCTTAATGCTTGCTTTTTATCACTTCACTAATGAGAATTAGTTCTTGACTTGGTAATTAGCAAAGAGATTATTGCCAAGAGATTGGATTAGTCATATAAATGAATCCTATGCATAAGGAATAACATTGTGTGAGTTTGTAAGCATCATAGGCTGAGTCAAGAGTTCCCTATTACCAATGATCTCATCTCAAGTCCCATTTTTTCTCTGTTTTAAGCTCTGTTCTAACCTTGCTCTGTTTTTACCTTTACCTTAGTTATTGCCTTCTCTTCTTCTTTATTTTGTGCTTGTTTAGTTTCTGCTTGATCACTTAGGTTGTTAGATATTCAAAACCATCCCTGCTTGCTTGAATTGAGAGCTCTATTGCATTCTTACTGCTTCATTCTCCCCTTTTGGATTGATAAAACCCTATGCTATACTACAACTGACTAGTACAGCTTGGGCAATTGTCCCAAGGGGTAAAACCCTTGTACCAATTTGGCGCCGTTGCCATTAGGGGAATGCTTTGTTTATTAGGATTTGTAGAGATCTTGAGATCAAGCTTTGTTATTTTCGATTTTGGTTACTGATTTTTCTTCTGGTCTAGGATTTCTTTTGTAGGTACCACAACACTTACACTTAAGTGTCTACAACTACATCTGAGGTTCAAGGTCAGGAATTTGGGGTTTGCTAAGTCAGAATTCAGCTGTTGAAGCATGGATACACATCAGTATGCTGCTGGTATTGGTTTGCAAGGCCCACAAGGTCCACAAGGTCCACAAGGTCTTCCAGGAACTCAAG